CTGCTCTGCCCCCTCCTTGCAGGCTGCTGCCACGTCAGGAGAGAGCTGCTGTCCTCATCCTTTCTCCCTCCTGGGCTGCAGCCAGGCTGTGTCGTGACAGCCCTTTCCCTGCCACCAGAGCCCCCCTCACTTCCTCCCCAGCTCTGCTCCCGCTGTGTGGAGCACCCAACCCTCTGGGCTGCCCTGGGGTGCTGAGCACCAGGATGCTTCCAGGGGTGTCCTTGAGACAGTATGTCCCCCCTCCTCACCCACTGCCATGCCCAAGCCCCTTCCTCTCCCCAGGGGAGCTCCGTGCCCTCCCTGCTCCCTCCTCCTTCCCTGCTCCCCCCTCCTCTTCCCGGCTCTTTCCCCCTCCCACCCTCATTCATTCGGAGCCAGCAGTGACTCATGCTCTGCTCAGCCACCCCCGGCCTCACGCTTCTGCTCGTCACTGTGGGGCTGAGGCTCTGTTATCTGTTTGGATCACGACCAGCTTTGTGGTGTGAAAAAAAGCCAGAAATAAAAGCCTGATCCTCCCCCTGCAGCTGTCAGACCCGAGCTCAGCCCCTCTGGCAGCTTTCATCTTTAATTCATGGCCAGGAGTGAGTCACCTGCATGGGGAGGCACTGGATGCCTCAGGGCTCCCCTGGGATCTGCTCCTCTTGCCCCTTCCTTCTTGGGGACCCAGCCCAGGGCTCTGGGGCAGCTGCCCAGTGGTTTTGGGAAGGAGCAGGTGCCTCCACTGTCCTCCCGTGGGTGTTGTGGGACAGCCAGGTTGGGCATCACCCCCTCTTCCACTGCCCCCTGGAATCAGCATCTTCAAACCTTTGAGAGCCAGAATGTGCTCCTTGCCTTGGCATCACTGAGGGTCCTTGGCTGTGTTTTCCCCTGGGATTTTTGCTTCCTGGCTCCAGGGGCAGGTCTGGGGTTACTTGGCTGAAGGGCCAGTTCCTGGGACAACTTGGCCAGAGCAGGGACCCCAGCCCCTCCTGCCAGGGTGTGACCTGCCCATGGTGGCACCAGGGCAGGAGCAGAGCTGGGGTTTGCACCCCTGGTTTGGCACCAGCCCCCAATCACCCCCTCCTCCCTGTTCTCCTGCAGTGTCCCTGTCCTCCCCCCATCTCTGCCTCCCCCTGGAGCGGGTTGTGCTTCCCATCCAAAAGGAAACCAGAGGAACCCGACCAAGGATCCCTCCCCGCTCCGGGCAGCGCCAGGAACCAGCAGCTGATGGTGGCCAGACCCACTTACCACCTCGGGAGATGGAATCTCCAGCTGGGAAGATGCTGCCCCTCCTCCCAATCACTCTTTGCCAATCAAGACACTGATTCTGTTTTTAATTTTGCGATGGGAAGGGCGGGATGAGCGGGGCTGGGGGGGTGGGACCCGCGCCCCCCTCCCCGCCGGGCCCCCCTGGCTGTGTAGAGTCGTGCAAAGCCATTGCCGTGCACTTTATGTTTTAGACTACTGTTATATATGGAAGATGCTGCCCCTCCTCCCAATCACTCTTTGCCAATCAAGACACTGATTCTGTTTTTAATTTTGCGATGGGAAGGGCGGGATGAGCGGGGCTGGGGGGGTGGGACCCGCGCCCCCCTCCCCGCCGGGCCCCCCTGGCTGTGTAGAGTCGTGCAAAGCCATTGCCGTGCACTTTATGTTTTAAAATACTGTTATATATTATATATTTTCCTCTTTTTTTTTTTTTGTTTTTTTGTTTATATTTGCGGTATATTTAGAGATTCCTACACATCGTGATGTGTTTAAAATAAACCAGATGAGGAAAAAAAAAACAAAACACAAAACAAAAAAAAAGACAAAAAAAAAAAAAAGACAAAAAAAAAACCACAAAAAAACCCAAACCAAACAGGTATTAAGACAAAGCAAAACTTATTAAACCTGCATGCTGTAAAAGGGCTCGGAAAAGGGAATGGGTGCGCTCGTCTGTTTTCTTTTCTTTTGGGTTGTTTGTTTTTTTTTTTAAGAAAAAAAAAATAAAGTGAGAACAGTGAGGTGGGTTTCATGTCCTTCCTCCTGGTCTGGATCCCCCCCAGGCTATACCCTGCTTTTCTGGGAGCAGCCAGCTGGGCGGGGCCAGCCCCTGAGCCCCCCCAGCAGCTCCTGAGCAGGGCAGGACACTGTCCTGGGGGGGGGGAGGGTGTGGAAGGTAAGAAGGAACTCAGAACAGTCACAGTTGTTTGTTTGGTTTTTTTCTCCTTTGTTTATAGACTTAAAAAGGCTGAGTTGTAGTTAGTGCTTTGGACAGAGACTTGGCAGAGGGAAGGAGCGACCCGGCCTCTACTTGCATGCAATGGGGGGGCTGTGGAGGGGTACAAGGGGGCCCTGGGCTGGGCCCCACTGGCCCCCCCACCTGCCCCAACCCCCAGGTAACACATCTGG